ATTGTACCACAGTCAAAGTAAAATTAGTGAATAAACAACTGACCAAGCCATTTAGAAGCACGCCTGTCTATGTTAAGCCTGAAATTTCACAGAATGTATCTATTTTCCTACATACGGTAGTTTAATTTTGAAATGTTTGCCAAAAATAAATAAATAAAGGGTGTGAAAACAAAAACTTTGCCACCCATGTAAAATAAAAATGACCACAAAATATTAGTAATAGGATGCACTAATTGATTTTTGAATACTAGCATCAGTAACTAGAAGAGAAAAACTATTTATTTTTGGATTTTTTTAAATGATATTTCACCCTTTACAGCTGGAACCACACTTTAAAATTAGACACGCTGTAAATTTGTGGATTTTAACAAGATATATATATATTTTTTTTAGCTTTATATGGGATTGTGTGCTTTATTTGGCTAACATTTTTTTCCTGATTCTGAGTCTGTGCATGTTTTAGTAATTGGATTTTCTCTTCAGAAACCTGTTTTCTCAAATAATGTGAGAGAGAAGAAAGAATAAGGTTAAATATTTTTGTCAATTGATCCAATACTTGTGTTGTTTTGGTTTTTGCACAAGTATTTTCCCTTCGCTGACAAGCACTTCACATGTAAATCACATCAGAATGCTTCAATCAGGGCACAACATGCTGTAGCTTTTACCTTTTTGTCTCCAAAAAAATTATCTATAGGATGTCACAAACATGAAGATGAAGGTTTCTTCGGAAATATGTATTATTATTCTATTATTTTCATAAGCATCAGTTTCCCTTAAACTGTGGGGCAGTGAGCAGCACTGCAGCTTTGTAGCAAGAAGGTTTGGGGTTTGATTCCCGACCTGGGCTCTTTCTGCATGGAAGGATGCATTTATAATGATATGATGAATAATGTCTGGAAATATCTGGAAACCAGGTCATTCTTTTCACACAGCTTTTCCTTGGTCAGCCATTTTTGAGCCTAATCTTCAGTTTTAAAACAGGTGCAAACATGTTTGCATAAGAGGAGCAGATCTCCAGAAGAAGTGCAAAAGGATTTGCGTTTGCTCTTCAGCAGACAGCATATGCAAACCATTTTTAGTGTTTGCATTCATCAATATGCAGATCATATTCTAATGACCAAACGGCGCAAATTCATGATTAAAGTACCGTATATGTAAATGTAAAATTTGACCACATGCAAAGTGATTTTTCAAATGCAATGGTAGCATCAGTTTTGGTGACTTTTTGGTACCTCTGAGAGTCAGGTGCAGAAACATCAGTAGTCAGGGATGAGTTAAGAGTTTTAGTTTAAGAGGTGCTTTGCACCAGAGGTGGACTGTGGACAGACTTTGTATAAAACTGATGTAATGTCTTGTAATTCGGTGCTTTATGTATATGATGCATATAAAGAATGCCTAAGCAATGCCCCAATCTTTCACCTAAGTGTTGGTTCAGCTCAAGCTGTAATTATTCCTCAGGTTATAACCACATAGTCCTGTGTATTTTGCATTTTGACATAGGTGTGTTTTTTTATTGTGTTAATGCCATGAGGCTGCTGCTTCCTCTCACTCTGCCCCGATCATGATGATCTAATGTCTAATCTTGCTTCCCTTTCTTTGCAGTAAACTGAAACACACGTTTAATATGGATACATTTTACTTATATAAAACAAATAAATACCACATCTATTCACATCTGACCTTCCTTAGCTAGTTAAAATATCTATTTTCTAAATCAAAAGTGGGTAGTGACCCACAAACTGCCATTCTGGGTCTCTGAGCAAAACCCTTAACCCCCTGATTGCTCCTCGTGCGCCCAACGATGGCAGCCGACTGCTCCCCAAGTGGATGGGTTAAATGCAGAGGTAAATCTCTCCAATGTGAGACCATCCATCCATCCATTTTCTTTACACGCTTAATCCCAAGTGGGGTCGTGAGGAGTGCTGGTGGCTATCTCCAGCTGTCAATGGGCGAGACGCTGGGTCCACCCTGGACAGTTTGCCAGGCCATCGCAGGGCAACACGGAGACAAACAGGACAAACAACCATTCAGACACACATTCAAACCTAAGGAGAATTTGGAGAAACCAATTAACCTAACAGTCATGTTTTTGGACTGTGAGAGGAAGCCGGAGTACCTGGAGAGAACCCACGCTTGCTCAGGGAGAACATGCAAAGTCCATGGAGAAAGTAGCCTGACGTAGCCCTACTTAATTCTAGTCAGAATATGAGTCTGATGCTGTTCCATAGAGCTGTGATTATGGGGCGTGTTTCGAACGAACCAGGAAAAAAAAATGCCTCTGCACTCAATTGGATAGACCTACAACCAATAAGAGCAACGGACTGCGTGACGTATGTTAAGCGAGGCATAGTTGTTAACAAGAATCAAATCGTGCAGTTGCACATCTAGAATAAGAAGATGAGCCTTGATCGCGTTTCTCTGTTCCTCTTTTAAAATTAATTTGCTGTCGATATCTTCTAGAACAGACCTAATAGCAGAATCTACTCACCCAAACTCTCCAGCGGCAGCCATTGTTGTTGTCACCCAAGCGCGCTTTGGTGACGTGGTTGATTACGTTACTGTTGATCATCTGTCCATCATCGTATAAAGCCCGCCCTGACAATTTGATTGGCCCGCCAGATATTGTGCGAGCATACTCGCGCTACTATTGAGCAATGCCAGACCGAACTTCCAGACCTCAAACGTTGTGGGCGGGACTAAGTTCGGAATGGCACCCAGGCTATGGAGAAAGAACCCGAGCCGGGAATCGAACCCAAGGCAGCTGCAAGGCAGCAGTGCTACCCACTGCACCACTGACCAAAATTCAATTATTATTATTTTGGCACTTTTTAATAAGTTTCAGTAAAAGTTCAATTGAAATTCAAATGATCCATTACAGAAATTCTCTTTGAATATGATCTGATCTACACCACCAAAATTTCATCCTGTTACCTGGATGCTTCGCCACCTTCTCGGCTACTCTGCCCAACTGAAGTTGCTTCATTTTTCCCTTTTTCTGGTTACAACCTAACAACACAATACACCTGGCAAGCATGATCATTCCTTTTTTTATAGAACACAGAAAAAAGGTTGTGTCACTTCAGTTATAGTCATAATCCATACTGTGACACAAAAAAAAACTGAGGAGACCTGTAACACTGACTCCACAGTTACATACATTCTTGGCCTTTGGCCTATCAATGCACCAAAAACGCACTTACAGGGTCTTGCGAAAGTATTTTGCCCCCTTTAACTTTTCGTCCTTTTGTCACATTTCAGACTTCAAACATAAAGATATAAAATTGTATCTTTTTGATAAGAATGAACAAATGGTGCACAACCATGAAGTGGAATGAAATTTATTGAATATTTCAAGCTATTTTTAACTAATAAAAAACTGGGAGAGTTTAATCGGACCCTTTACCTTCAGTTCAGTAAAACTATCTCCAGAAGTTCAGTGAGGGTCTCTGAATGCTCCAATGTTGACCTAAAAAAAAGACTGATAATAGTAAAAATGATAATTATAATAGTAATAATATATTTTATGTGTAATGCACTTTAAATTTAAGAAAAATCTAAGTAATCAAAGTAGTAAATTCATCATAAAAAGGTAAAAGCAAAAA